TATGCTCCATAGGTTTCCACTTGCTGATTTTCTGGGAAGTACATCTCCAGGCCTTTCCTTTGGGGCACCTCTGGGTGATCTGGAGCGCCATTGTTTTGGTTAGCGGCTGAGCGTGTCACAGCTGCACCACCCGGGGACTCTGACCTTAAAAGAGGACGAACCTTTTCAAAGTTGTTGTTGTCCAACAGCAGCTGATAGCCGTAACCACAGAACTGATAGCTAAACCACAGAAAAGTTGGTAGGTAGACCAATTCAGGGTTGGAGTTTTGCAAGGAAAGAACAAGGGGCAAAAAATCCAAGTTATTTAAATGGTGGATTGTATTTGCAGGGGCTGGCACATGACTGCCCGAGGGCCAACTCCATCCCACCACTTTTTTTATGGAGTTCTGTTGTGACAGCCACACCCGTTCACTTAATGTACGTCTGTGTGAGTTGGAATGAGGAGAGGGCAGCGGGTTTGGGTTTTTCTTTTTTCTTTTTTTTTTATGGCGGCTTTGGAGCCCTGCTGGTGCAGTGGTTAAAAGCTCGGCTGCTAGTCAAAAGGTTGGCAGTTCGTATCCACCAGCCACTCCTTGGAAACCCTATAGCGGGCAGCTCTACTCTGTCCTGTAGGGATGCTAGGAGTTGGAATTTGACTCAGTGGCCACAGATTTGTTTCTGTATTTTACGGGGTTATAGGAGCCCCGGTGGCGCAGTGGTTAAGAGCTCAGCTGCTAAGAGAAAGGTCGGCAGTTCAAACCCCCCAGCCGCTCTGCAGGAGAAAGCTGTGGCAGTCTGCTTCAGCAAGATTTACAGCCTTGTTAGCGCCGCGGGGCCGCTGTCCTCTGTCCTGTAGGGACGCTGTGAGTGGGAATCGACTCGACAGCAGCGGGGATGGTGGCTTTCCCACTACGATGGCAGAGTTGAATCATTATGACAGAAAAACTGTGGCCCAGTGTGGAAACTATTTACTAATTGGCCCTGTACATGAAAAGTTTGCCAACCCGGAATGACAAGGTCATTCAGGAATGAGCCAGCAGGCTGCTTTCTCGTAGACTCTGAGCACACCCATGGGAAAGGTCAGGACGTGAAGTTATTGTGAAGTCAAGCAGCAGACAGAACGGGACTCAGAAAGCTGACAGCACAGGGGTTTAGAGAGTCAGCCTGTCAAAGTGGAGGGCTCCCGAGACCCCCAGGATCTCAGCGATGAGCTGGGAGGGGATTGGGCGGTAGAGTGGGGGCTGTGGAGTTCACCGGAGTTCAAGTTGAGGGATCCTCAGTGGAGCGTTGTTCTATAAAGAGGATCTCCCTAAAAATACCCACAGATAACTTGCCAATACAGAGAACTTAACCCCCACAGCTAAGACCTATCTGGATAGTCTTCCTCACCCACGTTTGCTGTGAGTTCAACCGAAACTACGAGTTGGTAAAGCGGTGGAATGTTCGCATGTTGGTTGATGTCTGCTCTGTGTGCAGTGTTCTTAAACTGCTCATTCGCAGTATAGTTTTGTGTGGTGCACCACGGTGTTTTCAGGTGCACATGTTCTGATTTTTAGCATAAACGTTTTTCTTTTTATCTAAAGATAGAGAATGTTACTGCGTTTTTTTAAATCTACTTTTAACATTGTTTTTTTCCCCTTTCCCTATAGGTATATGAAAATTATCCTGCTTATGATTTAACTGAAAGAAAGGATTTCATAAAAACAACTGTTAAAGAGGTAAATATTTCCATCTTTTCCAAGTTTGATCATTTTGGACATAGAAGACCAAAAATATTATGTGCATTAGACGCTGCATGGTTTTCAAAGCATTCCTGTTACTATCACATTTGTTCCTCAGATTCCTGTGAAGTAGGTAGGGGATCTTGCTTTTCATCCCTATTTGAAAGCTTAAAAAATAAAGTCTGAACAGTTAGTGACAAATCCTGAGCTCAGATTAAGACGTGGGTTGTGTATCATGGGTAGCTTGGCTTCTCCAAGGAGCTCACACATCTGGTGCAGAACAAGCTCCTGTCCTCCAGGCAGAGGTGAAGGAAGAACAGTACCTACAGTTTTATACTGATCCCAGCTGGTTTCCCACAGGTCATGAGAGCAAACTGTTGTTAGGTGTCGAGAGTCAATTTCAACTCATAATGACCCCATGTGACAGATGGAACTGCCTCGTAGGGTTTCTAGACTGTGATCTTTACAGGAACAGATTGCCAGGTCTTTCTTCTGCAGAGCTGCTGGGTGGGCAAACTGACCACCTTTCAGTTAGCAGCCGAGTGGTTAACCATTGCACCACCAAGGCACCTAAGTAGTAAAATGGAAGTTAAAAATGCAATAAGGTTTTATGATTTATGTGTACTTGATATTGTATGTGCAGTGTGAGAAAAGAATGTTTCTCTTTCATTACAGCTTATTTCTTGAGACGGAAGTCAGAGACACATGACCTGGCCCCATGGATTTGAAGATCTGATTTATACCAGCAAAGAGAATGTATTTCCTTTTCTAAAGCCTCGGTAACCATTGTGTTGGTAGAACTTACCACTGACCTTGTGATCTTGAGTGTTATGTAAATTTGACTTTGCAGTTTTCAATTGCATTTCTCTGCAGTGTTTAGTTTAAAATTTGCATGACAGCAGCTGTTCCTTGCTTTTAGAGTTGTGTTTTGTACATTCGGGTTTCTTTGTATGAGGTCATAGATTCTTGAACTGTTGTGGTTTTTAGTGTGCTTAATATTAGCTTGCTTAAGACATAACACTTTTAATCAAGTAGAACAAAGCTGTTGTTATTACCGGCATCTATACATGCAGTGAGTATTGCAGTATTTAGTGTATGAAGTATTTTGAATACACATCTCTTCTGTCAGTCTAAAAAACTCAGTGGCCACGTGTTCATCGTATTAAAAACAGACGAGCCACGCAGCTGTCAGGTGACGAAGCTGAACTTCTCTCCTGCATGTGTATATATGTCCAATTGTCAGCATGACAGGAGTGACAGATATTATTTTTGTATTTTTAAAAACATGTATATAAAGTTTTTTTATTTCTTTTGTGCAAATCAATTTTTAAACTCACATAGGTAGGTATCTTTATGAACTATGAAATGTCAGTGTTCGGCCAGATGGGCGTGACAGAGCAGGAAGGTTGGAACTCGGTGAAGACACCACCGACGGACGGATCGTTCTCCTGCTTTGCCTTCAAAGTGTCAGCGGTTGGTAGTTTTAGCGCTAACTCTGCAAAAATGTCTGTAGAAACATTTTACATTAAGGACAAACCAGTATCAACCAAGAATAACTTCAGAAACTTTGGGAGAGTATGGGATTACGTACAAGCACACTTGGCTTCTAGTAAATGAACTGATTTTTAGTAACTGCTTGGCCTGTACAAAATGCTGATATTTACAGGAACGCTGGCCCCCTCCATGATGGTGATAGAAGTACCAGGTATAATCCAAAAGAAGATAATGTGTAGGGAGCAGTGGGTATCTCTGACAAAGGGTTTCTCTAAAGTGATAATAAACTTGTTTATTTTCACATTGAAGACATTTAGTTATTTGTGGAATCAGGGCTGTTGGGTTTTAAATTTTGGCCAATCAGGATTCTAGGTGATTGATGTATGGACCACCCCTGAATTAGACTAATCTTATCGTTTATATCGACTGTCTTAGTTTGTTAATCTGTCTCTGAATTTTAAAATAAAACATCCTTATGATAAATTAGCCCTTTGATATACCACTGGAGTGTTAAAGATAGCTTTGGATCATACAACAGAAATATGTAAAAATGTTATATATTGAGTGTTAACAGGTACTTTCACAGGTTGACTTTGTTTCTTGATAATGACATTAGGGAAAGGCATAGTTAATACAAATGAATGGAATAAGCAAGTAAATGAGACCTAAGAATTGGCCTTTGATTTTTAAATATTTGTTCCTATAAACCTTGTCAATAAAAATAATAAATCAATGATGTTCTAGTCTCTTGTATTTGATTTTTTGAAGAGGGGCCTTACTATGGGTTTACGTGGCCTTTTTCTTGTACGTGAGGGTTTCCGAATGGGGTTTTAGGTGGCTTTAGCCTAAGTCTGTATGATCTGGAGTGCTGACCATTTTTACTTTTAATAAGTACACTTCAGAGACATTGTTAGGGGAACTTGAAGTGATTTCACGAAGCTGTCCGTCTGCAGCTGATGTTCATGACAGTTCACTGTGACAGGAAAGAATGCCTGTGGTCGAAACAGTGAGGCTCCTGACGGGGAGGATTCAGGCGGTCTGTGTGGCGGTGCGTGGGTTGATACACTCCTTCAGTAAGAACGTGGTCATCATTACTGCACACGCAAAATGCGTTGGAAAAACAAGGCTAGTTTTATTAAGCTGTTTTACACAACCAGTTATTCATGCTCTGTATTTAAAACATTAATAAATTTGTATGTTCACTGCTACTCGATTACAAAAGTCCTCAGGCAACACTGAGAAACACACTCAAAGTAACTCAAGAATGAAAGGAAAGTACCGAGGTTCCTTAACAAAGTGCCAGAGTATGTCACTTCAGACAGGAAATGAGGTTTTGGGGTTTTTTTTAAATACACGTTCACCATACTTTCAGGAGGTTTTTCCCTAGCTTGCCTGTAGGAAGGTACAGGTTTAAGTGCCCAGAGACTAAAGTAATAATTTACTGTGAACCATTTCAAACGTAACACGATATTTTGCATTTATCACTTAACACGTGCTATTTCTTCTAAACATCTGAATACATAACACTTTAAAGCAGAATACTTCCCAGTCAGTACCAATGAGTCTCATCAGTGACCTAAATATCAACGTTTTCCTGTGTGAACTGTGAAGTTACCGTAAGGCTAGCTGCTTGCTTTTGTTTGTATCATAACTGGTGGGGGAGAAGGGGACATCTAAACTCTTATCTAAAGTTTACCACATTGTTTGCATAAAACACTATTTCTACTTATAAACTGACTTTCAAATTTCAAAAATACCTAATATTTTGAACAGTGGTTTTAGAATTATTTTTGAGTCCCTTTTTAAAGCAGCCCAATATAATTGAAAGAACAGCTCAAAGACATCTGTTGACAAAAGCGCTTAATTCTAACCTGTAAACTGGTTTCTTTCAGGTTTCTTGGCAAAGTAAGTATCCCAAGGACCCTGAAACGGATGTTTATTTTAATGCCATATGAAGCAGTTCGGTGAAGAGAGGAAAGAGTGAACGTTTGCCATGTTCTCAGGCTCTTAAGATATGGCTTATAGAGTGTAACATTTACCAGGATATATCACATTTCTCTGCAGTTTTCCCATGGACCTGCCTATGGAATACTGTAAATGTAACTGCAAAAAATATTCCTACAAATTGAATCTGTTGTTTTAAAAAGGGGAAGTTGAGAGGGGCTTTTGGTAAATTGACAAGATCTTTTTTGCTAGTGGCTGCCAAAAGAAGGGTATTTAAAGTGTGCCCCCCACCCCCCCAAACTGGGCTCTATGAAAAAGCCATATCTGTCTTTAGTATGAAGACTACACTCTCTCTCCCCCATCTCAGTGATACAACACCTGGTCTGTTGAAGGTATTGAAAATTTTGCTGTTTGGCCAATGAGTACACAAATTAAACTTTTATCATAAGATACCTGAATTTAAATTCCTTTTAAATACCCAGTGGGAATAAATATGTACAATATAAAATAGTCTAGAAGCTTCACCTTTTGTACTGAAGCAGTTTGTACTGTATCAAAAAAAAAAGATTTCTATCTAAATTTTAAGTAAAAGCTCAATATTGGAGCTATATAAAAATCTTAAGGCTCGTTGGTAAAGATACTGATGAATTGTCAGAGAAGAAAAACATGGCTTTATCTGGTTTCTGAATGATTCCTGCTTGTTTGCCTTGGTTTCTCAATGTGTGAAAACTGATCAGCCAAATAGAATGTCAAGACAACCTCCAACCATGGAAGAATCCCATCCATATTCTGCTGTTGTCTTCTGAAATCCAGAAGACTTTTAGCACTAGTCGGACCTGGTAAGTGGAAAATGCAATTAAATATAAGTGCTTACAAGGATTCTTGGGGCTAGTGCTTTCAGAGTGGCCTGAAATGTGTTTACATTATCACCTTAAAACATTTCAATTCTGTTATCCACAGGGCTTTTTTTTTTTTTTTTGTCCTTAAGAAACGGGGGTCTAACGTGTTTCAAACGTTCCCCCCCAGGGACAGAAGAAAACTGGGTCCAGACAAACTAAAACGCCGCAATCTTGCTTGCTTCTCGCACACCGCTGAGATATGCCCCGGTAACAGTTTGTGGAAAATGCCTGTTTGTTGCCTGTAAAAAAAGAAAAAAAAAATTACAGAATTTGATATGTAACAAGAATTCAGATAATAAACTTGTACCTTCCCTGATCCTCCTGAGGTAAAGGTTGGTGCCACACCTGTATGCTCATATTAACACCCTTTATTCAGCTGTCATGGAGCCCTGGGTGGTTCAAATGGTGAATGCACTCAGCTCCTAACTGAAGGCTGGAGATTCGAGTCCATCCAGAAAGGTCTGGTGATCTACTTCTGAAAAATCTGCCACTGAAAACCCTATGGAGCCCAGTTCTACAGGGTCTGCCTGAGTTGGGAGCCAACTTCATGGCAACTGGCTTGTTCTGGTTTCTTTACTCACCCATCATGGCCCTTGAACTTCTCTGGTTATCTAACCATGCTTTGTCAGACTCATTCATTCTACAGTTTATTCATCACTCCCGTGAAGTACTGTGTGGTATACGTTAAAATACTATCTACATATGGCAGGTAGTGTTTGTCAGAGTTAAAACAATGACTAAGACAGCTCTTCCATCAGACAGGTAATCCAGCAGTTACAATTAGTGGCAGGTGACGAAGCACAAAAAGTGAATCACAATTCACCCAGGATTGGAGTTCTGCTGGACGGTGGAACAGAAGGGTAGAGGACGGGAGTTCCTAAAAAGAAGGACAGACGGTGGACCTTAATTTCAACAAGAAGGGAAGAACAAAAGGTGAGGGCTGCTGGGTGGGGAGGAAGTAAAAAGGCCGTCAGTGATGGGAGAACTGCTTCCAAGGAATGGCGGCAGTGGAAATGGAATAAGGGAATCAAGACAGGGAAGCAGGAGGCATGAGGAGTGGGTGCTGGGAGGTGATGACAAGGTCTGAGACGTGTCTTTGGGAGAGGGCCGCTGAGGTGGAGCTGAACAGGTCTCAGAGGACAGAAACTGACAGGTGACGTTCCAGGTGAAGGTGAAGGCATGACATTGACGGCTGGGGTGGAGGGAGAAACACCCAGGTGCCGAAGATTTCAAAGACGGGGGAGTGACCCCAGAGGTCAGCAGGGACAAGTACTCGTCGGGGGAGAAAGTGGCGGCAACAGAAGCCTCAAAGAAATGGTTTTGTTTTAATAAGAAAATGCTAATTTATCAAAGCACCTAAAGCAAAAAAACAAAACAAAACAAAAAAACCCGCTGCGTCCAGTCAATCCCGACTCCTAGCGACCCTGTAAGACAGAGGAGAACTGCCCCACAGGGTTTCCAAGGAGCGGCTGGTGGATTTGAACTGCCGACCTTTCAGTTAGCAGCTCTTAACCACTGCACCACTAGGGCTCCAAAGAAGGCAAAACGGTTCTAAATCCTGCTCGTGACCCTAGAATAGCCTGAAGTGGTCACTTCTCGGAAGCAGACCATTGCCTGGCACGTGGCCACTGTGGCCTGCTTCTACAGCGCTCCTGGGAGACACGTGATCCCAAACTATGACATGCTGCTGTTGTTAGCTGTAATCGAAACAGCCCCAAACTCACACTGACCCCACGCACAACAGAACAAAATGCTGCTCCGTCCTGTGCCATCCCCGGGATCCGTAAGGTTTTTATTGGCTGATGTTCAGCTGTCAATTGCCAGGCCTTTCTTCCTGGTCTTAAGTTTGGAAGCTCTGAACCCTGTTCTGCTTTATAGCAAAATGCAAGCCTCCACTGACAGATGAGTGGTGGCTGTGCCTGGGGTGCACTGGCCAGACAATTCTGGGTCTCCCCCAGGGAAGCTGACAACTCACCACTAAACCACCACCATCCCCCTCCACTGTGATCTACAAAGGCTGAGAGCAGATGCGAGTGGCCACTTGCTTAGCTTTCACCGTCCTCATTCTGCTCAGTGTCTGCGGGAAGACTAGATGAGTTAACAACAAAGAGCAAACCCATTAATCTGCTGCCGTGGAGTCAATTCCAACTCGTAGCGACCCTATACGACAGGGCAGAACCGCCCCGTGGGGTTTCCAAGAAGCAGCTGGTGGATTCCAACTGCCGACCTTTTGGTCAGCAGCCGTACTCTTAACCACTACGCCACCGAAAGATACACCAGGTTCAGCCGTGGGAGACCCCATGACACTGCTGTGACTCGGACACGAACCAAGGTTGAAGCAAGAGAAACAGGAACTCGAAGGAAACCAGCAGGGAGGAAGCAGAAACAGAGTGAAAGTCTTAATGAATCAGCTTAGTTAAGAAACAAGTTCCGAAGCAGGAGGAGGATGTGATAGAAAAGGAGCGTTCTGAGAAGAAAGTGCTCGTAAGTTGAAGTCGAAATTTAAAATATCAATACAAGGGTTGGAAGATAAAGTCAAAGCAATCTCCCCGAAAGGAGAATAAAAAGACAGAGATGAACAATAGCAAGAAGAAGACAATCAGATGATGAGTCCAACTCCGATATACGCAGCAGCAGCTGTAGAAACACCGAACAGAAAAACTGGGGAGAAAATGACCAGAAAAGGAAATTCGAGGAATGAAGGGCTGGAGTTTCTAGATGACGAGGAATGGAAAAGGCATAGAAAGGATCAGAAATCAGAACAGTAAAACACTTCTTTACAGAAGTAAATCAAGAAAGGAGAAAAGGATCTAGGAATGAGTGAGCCCCAACCCTGCAGGGTGGAGAAGATCCAGGGTGATGGCCGGGCCAGACGGCGGCAGAAAGACAAGGGCTCCGGGATAGCAGATTTCAAAACAGGAAACTATCACACCAGGTCTTAGATTCTGCTGCCACTTCCAGATGACTGAAGAGTGGTGGAGAGGTAGAAAAAGAATTGAGCAAATGAAAAAAGGAGTCTTGGTGATACAGTGGTTAAGTACTCGGCTGCTAACTGAAAGGTCAGCGGTTGGAACTCACC